AATCCTTGAGTTTATTTATTTATTTATGATTTATTTACCGACACTTTCAACACCTTAATATATAACAGCGTCAACTGATTGGATGACAGTGTATAGTGAACTGGTAAGGAAGTGGAAGGAAACGGCATGGCCTTATTTAAGTTGCAACCCTGACACATACTGAGGAAAACTAGGACAATCTTCAGTCGAGACAGTCGATGTCCCAGCAAAGATTCGAACTTGTAGCTTCCCAAATGGAAGCTTACTATCTTAGCAGATTTTTTCTTCTTGACGAAAATGTAGCACAGTGTGCTGGATTATTCCAGTTGCTGACATAAAAATTGACTTAAGCATATCATCTTTATAAATTTATTATCACTAAAGTTATGGTTACCGGAATGGAATAAATCAATCATTATAAGAGTATGGGCTTAACGGTCGCGGTTCGATCACTGGTAGGAAGTTGTATCTTTAGCACAGGCAGCCCTCCAGTGTTGTACTTCCTGTTGCATTAATACGAGTATTAGAGTTTTGCAGAGATTGTCTCCACACACGGACAGCACAGCAACACAACCAACTCAACAAGGAGTTATCTCTAGACAAGCGACTGCAACACGCGCAACACTGCATAGACAAACATACGTGCAGCTATAACAATACACAAAACATATACACAGTAGCACAGAACGCAGCGCAACACAATCTTAATGAATTTATTTTAATAAAATTTAAAGGACTTGTAATTATTTCTAAGAACAAATAAACATAAGGTAAAGCTAAAGAGGTCTCACTCGGGGCGTGGATATTTGTGTGCGTTTTTCTGTGTTTGTGTACAGGTAGAGGACTTGCGACGAGCTGATCACCTGCCCAAGGAGTCCTACCGTATGTTTAATATCTATAAAAACCGAAGTGAACAGAGAAGTTCATGGAGGTAGGCCTATGCCCACGGGTGCTGTAGTGTGAACAAAAAAAAAAGGTAAAGAGGTAAACTTGTCCCTGTGCTCAATTAGTTAAACACTATGCCATGAAGATGTATGGGATCGAGTGGAGGTATAGTTCCACCATTCTTGATCTCGATATTAGATGGGGATGAGTGGTTAGCTTCACGTCCCTGCCGCTTTACCCTCGCAGAAAGAGCCTCCGGTACCCATCGGACATGAGTCTGGTTGGGCCCCACCAGTCTGTACGCTGTTGAGCCCGTCACTATATCGAAGGAGTTACCTCGACCCCTATGCTAGAAAATAATTTCAAAAATTAACCTCGAGTAAAGACGTGTGACACAAAATAAAGCGTACAGTTAAACAATTTTTAAAGTTGGTACTAACTTCGCCGACAAGCGACGGTCGCTCGGTCGATACAGTTCGCTTGCGGACTATAGGCAACGGAGTTTCCTTCTGTTTGTTTTGTCAAACAATTTTAGTAGGACTCACATATACCACATGACGATCGTATGAGCCGAAATATTTCGCTGTAAGACAAGACGTACATGAAACAGAAAATAAATATTGCATTTATGACTGTAATATATATGTAAAAACCTATCCAGTGGGTTTCTTGCACTAGGGCTACAGCGGCTTCATCATGTGGGGTTACAACTCTTCCCTATCCACTACCCATCGCAAGCTTCTCAGTGCCTTATGGCTTTAAAATGAATCACAGGTGCTACTTAAATTTTCTGCACTTTGTTGTTGTTACTTTTGTTATTATTTCCAATATTATTCTCATTTTTATTTATCGTTTTCATCACTATTGTCGTCATTTCATATTGCTTCATTCCTCTTAGGATTTTGTCTGTAGCGTTAGGTAACGGAAGAGAAACAACCAGTCACTGTCATAATGAAGAGAACTTGTTAAAGTGTCTAAGCATCGTTGCTCCACTGTCTGATTCCGCCTTACGGTGCCAGAGTTTAGGTTTTGCCCCCGACTGTAGTCTCTCTCGTTCATGTGTCAGGCGTGACTAATAGCTGTTGCCGGCTTCCTTTCATGGTATCCGTGAAGGCGGCTGGCCGGCCGCTCGGCTACTCTCTTCCCTCGAGAACTATTGGCTTTTAATTCTGGAATGGAAGTTTCAAGGGAGAGAAATTGGTCTTGCTAAGCTCACTTCAAGTATCGATTGCAATTGTCAAGAGTCAAACTCTGCAACTGTCAGATCGTCTGTTTCTTATTGGAAGGCGACACGCTGGTTTTTGAACTCACTGTAGCGAATCAGATACAATTCACAGTCTCTATTTTTCTTTTTCCAGTTTTAACCTAGCCGCACTTACAATTTAGCTGATGTTCCATGCATACCAAACTATGAATGGAAATCACTGAGAGAATGATCGCGTGGACGTTTCAGGGGTAGATGGAAGGATAATATTACAGTAAGTTCTGGGAAGAATTAATTGGCTACTTTACTTTGATACAACACTGACCGTATAGAAAATTCAAGAATTATGACGGAGACACAGAGAGCAGAATTCTCTCGCAAGCCTTCTCGATACGACACGAACCGCACAGAAAACGGAAAAGTTAGGGGTTAGCGTAGAGACGTACAGGCAAAGAGCTGATCTCATAAGCCTTATACCAAAAATTTGGAAGGGGGATACACAGAGAAACACAGAAGAATGTACAAATAGACTGCAAGGTGATCTCACGATTTCTTCTTCTTCTTTTTAAACATAATTTTATTTCGTGTGTTCTGGCTCCCCTTGGTAACATATTCCAGGTGGTTCAAGGTCCAGTTCCATACTTCTCAGGCGATATCAGCATTTCAGTTCCTTTCATATCGTGAAGACTTAATTGGGTCCCATCCTTCTCTTCATCCCCCCTCTCCCCACCCCGCGTCACCTAGACAACCATGAGACCCGAGTTCAGTACTTCATTTAGGCTCTCCTGATTTCAAGCGAGCTTTCTGTTTGTTTTAACCACTCCGTAGTTGGTTGAGACATTATTCTATAAGCTGGAGGGTCTCGGATTCGAGTCTCGATGAGGTGGATATTTTCAATTAATCCTTCCAGCCGCACTATGGCCCTGAGGTCGACCCTGCCTCTAACAGAAATGAGTACCAGGAATCTTCCTGGGGGTAAAGAGCGGGTGGCGCGTAAGGCTGATAAACTCACAGCCATCTGTGAGCCGATTGTCTTGAAAATGTGAGAACCTCGACGTCTCACAACCCTATGGACGTTCACGGAATGTTACAGAGTTACCTTTACCTGTTTTGCCTTTACTCAGCATAGATAAGAGTTTGTTATTTCATTATGTTTTCTAACTGCACTGTTTCAGCTATAGATACTAGGTAGTCTCAAATAAGATGAGACTGTGATTATAAATGGTGAGCAGTGAGGGAAGGTGAAGGTGATCATTAACCTGACAATCAGAATTACTGGATTTCGGACTTTGTCCATCATTCGGTATTCTAGAAACTAAATAACACAACGTTTCGGAAACTAGACCCAACAGAGTAGGTGTCTCCCCTTTCACCTGAGGACAAAAACGGACCCAATTTCCGAAACGTTGTGTTTTCTAGATTGTAGAATACCGGACGATGGACAAAGTCCGAAAACCCCGTAATTCTGACTGTTATACACCATCACCAGAACCTTTTGTAATCTACGTTTTCCTGACATTCACCCGCAAACACCGAGGAACACCTCAGAATTTTTCAGGCAGGATGGTCAGTAACCGGGCCAAAATTTAGTGTGTCACATCTAAGTAGTGAATTCTACATAGGCATAAATGCGTCCACAAAAATTAGCGTATTAAGGTGTATGTCATATTTTGAGAAATTACTGGCTATACCCTCATTTTGGCTCATTTCTCTATGGAGAAGGAAACCAATTACAGCGGCATGTGAAGTAAAGTGAAGCTACCATGAAGCTTCTCTCGTGAAACTTTGTCCTCACAGGTATATTGTACTAAATTCCGTACATGACTTTATGTGCACATGTCATGTTAGTAGATAGGGATCTCGTTTCTGCTTTCAAAAACACGGTTACAATATAACATGTAATTAACATGTCAAAGATAACAGTATGTTAAATGCTTTAAGTGCCCACAGCTCGTCATGTTACACAGGTTGTATACCGAGACTGATATCGTAGCTGGAATTCGTAAGTTTCGTGGAATTTGCCGCTTATTTTAGTTTCCATGGAGTAGGATCGTGTTCTCTAGTCGTGAAGCTAATTTTAGTTGCTAGCTCTTCGTATGGCTCTCTTCAATAAAGCGTACACTTAATTAAACCTACATTAACTCGAGGCATGTGCTCAAGCAGTTAAAGTTTAACAAAGGTAGGAAGGTGTAGGCCCTTACTAATTTCTAACATAAATAATTTTCTGATACTTTCTATGCTTACCCTCTTGTCCTCTCAGTTCGGACAATGAAGAGACAACAATAGGCCAAGTGTCTATCGCTGCAAAAGCCAACGTGGCTCCCAACTGTAAATAAAGTAATTATCTGATGTTCACTTTGATAAATTGAAGTTCAAAATATTACCCAGATCTGTATTTTATGTTATTCATAAGAAGATGGATTTAAGCTTCATATGGTGTAAGTGTTCGACAAATTCACTTCCGCGCTCCCCTATTTTAGTATACATGGCCTAATATCTGAGTTTTTTCAAACCCTACAGGAAAATAATTTGAACCGCACACAAAATCTGGTTAAACACGACCACTGTGCTGTGAACCGAGTGAGGTCTACCTACTTAACGTTTTGCAAAATATTTCTACAAGAACTGTTTCAGTACTACATTTCCATCTACTCCTAGGCCTATCCTCAATAACCATGAAAAGGAATATGTTACGCATTTTCAAGATGAGTTGTGAATGCTAGTTGCACTGCCCATCTTATCTTTGTTCATCTACTAACCATAGAAATTGCACAGTCCTACAAAAGTATCTCAGTTGGTCAACAAATTTCCCTGCTGTTACGGAACCCGAATATTCATTACCACGTTCACAGTGTAGATGAAAATAATTCACATGCTGAACCAAGGAGGGTTATTATTTTACTAAGTTCTGTCATTCATATATGTGTTACAGACGGACAAGCAAACCACCTGAACCTCTTCAACAACCGCCAGCAAGCCAAGAAGAAGAGGAAATCGCGGACCGCTTTCACCAACCACCAGATATTCGAGCTGGAGAAGCGGTTTCTCTACCAGAAATACCTGTCGCCCGCCGATCGGGATGAGATCGCGGGTCAGCTGGGCCTCAGCAACGCACAGGTCATCACATGGTTCCAGAACAGGCGCGCCAAGCTGAAGCGAGACATGGAAGAGCTCAAGAAAGACGTAGAGACAACCAAGATACTAACAGCTCATAAGTCCTTCTTAGAAAACGTACAAGACCTCGGTATCCTGAAGAAAAAATCATCTGGAACCTCTGTAATGATGCCTGACGATAAAGGTATACCAACATTGGCGATAGTGTCAGAGAAATGATATAACTATTAAGGTTTCATGCGTTATGAACAAGGACCATCTTTCCTAAACGTTGCTTTGGTATACTTATATGGATCTTAATCGAAGTCTGTGATGTTTGTCATAGCTATTGAATAATATTATAAATTTGGGAACTGTATCTATGTGGATGCTAAAGAACTAATTACACTGTACTCAATGAATGTGACAGACTTTACCTAGAAGAAAGAAACTGAAGAAGAATTTATCTAGTGAAGCTTGCTTTGATGTGACAGAAATTCCTCAGAAAGCAACGACAGCAAATGAATGCGGCAATTGAAATAGTGAAGTAAAACCAGCTACGGAATTATTATATTTGTTTGGGGTGGAGGGAAAAAGTAAATGGATTAGGAATGAAATGTGATTAGCTCCCGTGCACGTCTGGATAGTCTGCCATAAAGGTGACAGTAAATTAAATGGCCAGTTAAGAGTATGTAGCAGGAATTTTTAACTTCGAAACAAATCGTGTAACTAGAGATCTCAGGTCACAGGTCCCTCGCTTCAGCAAGAATTGACTGCATTTCTACCCAGGATGTTAATTATGGCAGACTGTCTTCGGAGACAATAACTTCCCGAATCGGTATTAACCGACAGACTGTATCTGAAAAGAATATTCTCATCTTCAGGGTAGAAGAACACCTGCTCAACCTGGTTCAGTGCTCGCGGTTTTCTTTTCTTTTCTTTCTACCCTGAAGATGGAGGCGATACGTTCCTTTTAAACGTGGGTTAATACAATATCTAAACGGTACCACATCACAAAAGACGGCTTTCTTTATAGTCACCGCCGTGAAGACCTCAAATCTTGCAAATTAAACTTTACCAGAATGTCAGCTCCTTACGTATAGCGAGAAATACCCACTGGGTGGAAGAAATATTATATAAAGATTATTCATTTAGTTCAAGCTTTGTTTCAATTAAATGCTTATTTAAAGAATACTGGAAAACTGAGCTTAATATTTTAACAATGTCATATTAGGCTGAAATCCTTGAAACTCCTGAAAACAAAGTGGCCCTACTACATTTGATTTCTTCAGATGAAGGGCTGACCCTCCAAATAATACGTGTAATTAAACCCTAAATATTCAGATTTCTCTAAATTAAATAATACTATCCACTGATATGTATCGCTGTGTGTCGCCTCCATCTTCAAGGTCAAAGAATAAGCCAAGCAAGGCACCAGCACAGAAGTCAGTACACTCCATAAGAACCCCTGTGAGAACTTCAGGTCCTACAGCCTCTAAATTGTTTACCACTGAAACGAAGCTATATACAAACACCTTAACACTGTTGCCTGGTGAAACCTAATTTCTGTTACCCCTATATGATTCTTCACCAAAATTGTCTACTTTTCTGCCTACCTAATTCAAACCTAATTTCAACTGACCTAGGCTGTGCACAGAAGATCTGATTTCTGTAGCCTAGATTCTTAGATCTGCATTAGAAGAGGAAGATCTCTTATTTAAGCCATCGATGTAGTTAGTGTGAGTATGCAAACTCAACTGCGGTGCATATTCGCTGGTAAATCGACAGACAAGCAGCAAAAGCCTTATATCCAGACTATGTACCACAGATCACTGCTAGGGAGGCTAAATGAACCTGCATGGAGGTTTGAAAACGGTATCATTAGGTCTACATTTGTATGAAACCTTGTGTTCTAAATAGCCGAAGGCAAGTTACAATTAAAACGCAGTCTCAAACACAAGAGAACATGCTTTAGAAAAGAAGAGAAATTGATGGCAATTTTGTTTTAGTGCTGATGACACTGGTGTGAATTACTTCTTGTTTTTCGTATGTTATGAACATGGCAATATTACGAGAGACTTACACAATGGCTAATTTGTGTTCATGCTCACAGAACGTAATGTTATATTAATTGAGCATAACTTTAATGTTGTTTCTGGCATGTCAAAATAATAATACGTTCATTGACGACTAATTCAAGGAAAAAGAAGTAACAGATATCTTTATTGTTGTTGCATGATGAAGTTGTTATGCAACTAATCACCAATAAGCATACATCGAACTGACAGTTCTAATCTAATTATTAAGTAATTTTAATAATTAGAATGGTGTAATAAAATTAGTTGTATAATATTTACGAATTCGGGTAATTTATTCCTTAAATTAGAAATGCAATCTAATTTAATATTTCGTGAATATGTATAATTCATTGAGGACAGAATAAACGGAGTCGGAAAGTAAGGGAAATTTTAACCCCGTGCCGCGTTAGTCTTTTGATTATAGTATCGTTGTGGATGTTGTAATGATATCACATATTTCATTTTGTAAATATGCATGTATAACGATGTACCGGGTCTTTGATTTAAATACAGTTAACGTGTGTGACGTCACAACATGTAGAGGCCTAACATTCAATTTTGAAGTAGTGGATATATGTACAATTCATACTTTACAGGTGGTCAGACAACTTTAAGACACTCATAAAGTAACGAAGCAAATAAAAATATATAGAATATAAGGGTCTGACATAAATTTATCCGACATCATATTCCTGTTTTTATTTTAGTCTGATGAGTTTGACATCTCTTGGTTTACATACATGTGTAAACTTTCATTACTGTATATGTATCAGTTCCTTATAAGAATCAAGTCTGCACTCACAACAAAATATCACTGTGCCCTCCACATGGAGTACACATAAAATTATAATATTTGGCATGCAAAGCTATTATTTCAGAACTAATTACACTGCCTCAACTATATTACAAAGTGACGAAATATTTTTATTTTCTTTTATTATATTAAATAGTTTTCATGCATTTTATTCATTTTAAGGCTGTTTCTAAAAGGACGTGGTATTTTATGTCTGTAAACAAGTTCTTAAACCATGAGCTGTTTTGTGAGAGAATTCACACAGTTCTAGTTCAGTTTCATGTACAGTAGGGGTTAAGTAGAATGCCGTCTTCTGGGATGTGGCGCCGTGTAAATAATGTGTTAACTGACGTTTCGGAGGAACGTATATAATATTTACAAGGGACCACATACCAGAATACGGCATTCTTCATAGTCACCGCCGTGAAAACCTCAAACATAGTAGTGGTTAAGTTCTGCTGTTCTAAAAAAAACTATATTTTTAAAATTCTATGGTAAAGATTACCATTTTTTTAAATCTGCAATAATTTTGAATAAAAAGATATATAAAGACGGACGGAGAACTTTTCTTGCTTGTGAATTCAGTGGGGTAAAGAAGAAAAACACGCGAAAACTCAATTTCAAAGAATATATGAAAATACTATCCCATGCTGGCCTTTATGGCTATCTGAGCTACTCTGTGGGGGGTACTGAAAATATTCAGGAAGTTACCATAATTTAATTATTTATAAATAGCATGCATACCTGATAGTCCGAACTAATCAAAGCAATGGCGTGTTTGGAGGATCGAATCGTTTGGATTCCCTAATTTCAGATTGAAGAGACCATTTTAGTAACTTTTTTATTCAGAAGAAGATACATTTTGTATACAAACAACGACCAGAACTCGCGGATATCCGAATCCACGCCGGACGCGGTGTTGGGAATTGAGTCTTCTTTTCCCTTTAATTCTTGGCTTATAATCCATGACTGCATATGCGTTTGCTCTACTAGTTGTTCCGAGCCATTAAACACTTCCCCGCTGTGACGTAACAGTAGATGTGCTGCTGGAGGGGACGTTTTCTACCTGTCTGATTTGAAGTATAATAAGCAGAGCTGAGGACCGAGCTGTGGGCAGTGGCGTTGACAGAAGTCAGTGGTTAGCCAGCATGGACAGTTCGACAGTTCTACAGTTGGACATTCTAGTGAGAGTAGTTAACACGAAAGGACCGACTGTGAAATGACTTGTTCAAAATTTGTGTTATAATTACATTGAATTGTAGTTACGGCGTTGATTAATAAAGTGACGTCGCAAGAATACGCCCCTCGAGGTCTTATTTCACAACACGCGGAGCAAGCGGTAACCGAGTTACGCGTTTCACCAGGCGGAGTAATAGGCTCACGAACACATACTATCATGTTTCAGAAGAACTTATTTTTACTGGGAGGAAGTAAAATGACTAGATCAATTTGGTTTATTTTTTGAGATGCCCTTTTTTGTCTAGCTGTAAATCACTTCGGATTACTGGGATTTCGGGTTACTAGGTGTTCGGATTACCGGGTGTTCGGGTTACCAGGAGTTCAGATTACCGGGAGTTCGGTTTACTGGGAGTTCTGATTACTGGGTGCTCTAATTACTGGGAGTTCTGATTTCTGGAACTTCGGATTACTGGTAGCTCTGATTACTGGGAGTGCGGATTTTTGGGACTTCTGATTTTTGGGAGTTCGGATTACTGACAGTTCGGATTAAGGAGAGTTCGGATTAATGTGGTCTTCTCGGATTATGGAAGTTCCACTGTATACTTATCCAGGAGTTACACAGATACTTACGAGTATATTGCAGGCATGCCCAACTTCAAACAGGTTGTGATCGACTTTTTAGTGTCAAAACTGCCAGTGATCTACCACCCCCTCCTACCGTCGTATCTCGCTTCAAGCAAAAATATTGGTAAAAATAACACGACACATGATGTTTGTTGTAAAAGCAACTAGCAACTGTGTGTCTGATGTCTGGAGAGTCATCCAGTTGGAGGGAGAAAGCAAAACAACTGTTCTGTTATGTTCCCACACATCATTTCTATTCGCCGCACAGCGGTGTTTCTTGATAACTGAAGATCTTGAATTGTAGCTATGATCTCTTTCCTATTTTTAAATCCTTCAAAAAGATTATCAGCTATTTCAAGAAAACATTCTTTTACAAATTCCCCTTCAGTGAAAGGTTTGCATTTTTAACGATCAGACTGCTGACCTTGAAGGATAATTTGGTTGCATTTTTAGAAAGTGACCTTGGTTTTGCCATAAACTGTTGTTGAGCAGCTAATTTCGATTTAAGTTCTTTGAGCTTAAGTTTACGAATTTCACTTTTGGGTGGAAAATCAGCATCATACTTATTGCTATGGAGAGCATTATAATGACGTTCCAGATTACACTTTTTGGCAAGGATACTGAGGCGTTGCATTTTCCACTATATTGAGGTAACTGTTTTACCTGACACACGCACACAGACGCTTTCGAAATTAATAAAATAACGTGGGCAGAGCACTTACTGTCCCTTTGATTACACCGAACTCATCCCCAAACTCTTTGCACAGCAAAGCGACAAATCTCCACTATATATAATATAATATAATATTAATATATTATATATAATATAATATTACGTCTCACTTGTTAGTTCAACGTACGGACATTCACAGTTGACTGGAAGATGGGAACGAAGTGAATCACACGTTCTGTCGTTCACTCTTGCATCAGAAGACATGCGGCTGACAACGAATGATGAAATAAGAGTTCACGTGATAAGGATAGAGTAGGAACTTCCTTAACACTTAACACAAGTGTAAAGCAATTTTCACGTAAGCTACATAAGAACAGAAAAATAGGAATGACTAATACGTATTTTTCCTTCAAAATCTGAATATAGTCATATTATATTACATGCTTTTCGCGTATAATTTCCTTATAGGCCTATGAGATCGACCGGTCGATCGCGATCGAAGCGTCGGACACGCCTGTTCTATAGCATAAATACATATGTCTTCCATTTCGTTGGAGCACGTAACGTATTCTTGAGATAAGACAGATTTCTATGATGATACCAAATTAATTATTTCATAATATTTTTATATTCATACGTGAAATCGTGTGTTAACGTAGAAGAAATAAATTTATATTCTTCAGTTCACGTTAAGACAGAGCTACGCTTTGTAACTGATAAAGAATAATACAATTTTCGTTTCGCTTAAGTGATTAAAGTTGCAATCGCCTGCTCACTTACAGTATTCGAGAAAAAACGAATAATTTAAATTAACGTGCTTGTAATTTAGGAACGTGAATTTACATTGCGTCCAAACCTTCTCGGGAGATAAGTCATTCCAATATTGAGTTAAAATCCAACGTTTCGTAGATCTTTTCCGTCTCCATCAGCAGGATCGTCTAAGAAGAATTTAGCACAATCATTAGCCGTGAAAGTTCGAAATTTTACATACGTTTAAACTGACTTTGGTTGCGTCGTGGCTCAACTCATTCGTCAGCTTTAACGTCTTGATGCAGAGCGCCAACCGTAGCTAATAGGGCGACCCACTAACATTAGTTAACAAGAAGCAGACTTGTGCGAATTAACTGAATATCTGAATTATGAATACGACGGACTAGTGTCCTGGATCAAGCTGCACCATTCTTTGTTAGATTTTATTTGATTGATCACAGCAATATTTCCAATTATACCGAATTTACTTGGATGGCATTAGGCCTGTTATTTCGCAAGTGATTAGTCTGCCGTCTACTGCCGTGATCAACATAGAACTCCCTGCGTGCATGTTTTGTCACTTAACCGCTAGACGGCAGCAGTTTATTAACACGTAATTTCAGAATTTACGCATTATGCTTTCTCTACAATTCGGCAGAAACTTGTCGTGACAAGCAGCAGTTCAGCTTTACAACAAACCTCAGGCGAGGCCTGCTATTACGAAATGAAAAATTATCTGCTGTCAGAGTCCAGTGATCACCAGTCCTACTAACAATGCCGGTGATTCATTAGTTAACAGGTTCTAAATCACAAACACTCATTATCATTAACCGTTCTAGGATTATTAATTTCTGGTACAGTATCTGATATAAGTTATTTCGATTTTTTACCGAATGGTAACTTTGAGTCTTCTGATGTCTCATGCATTTTCATACAGTATTAATTATTAACAAATGATATAAAGAAGAATGCCGTCTTCTGGGGTGTGGCGAAGTGTAGTTCTTGTGTAAACCGCCGTGAAAACCTCAAATCTTACAAATGACATAATGTATTTAGGTTTTCATAGTCTACCAACTTCTAGTATATTGTGCGTCAGAAATTTATTCCCGTTTTCACAAGTTACCAGAGTTTATTTTGGTGCCTGAGTTTTTAAATTATACGCATTTGACCCATGATTGTGGAACGCGGGGAATTTGTCGTTTCTGGTATTAAGAGAATTAAGTTCTATTCCATAATATGAGACACACAGTTGTAATTTTAGAATAAATTCACGACAAATATAATTCCACATATATACATAGGAGATTCGGGGTAGAGTAGTCTGTATAACGACTGGCTACGGGCTGAATGAATGAAAGGGGTCGGAGTTCGAGTCCCGGTAGTGTCAAGAACTGTATCTTATCCAAATCGTCCAGACCGACTATGGGGTCCACTCAACTTATTCCAAGGGTACCGGGGGTTCGTTCTCCGGGGATAAAATGACTGAAGAGTGAAGCTGACCACTCACCTCCAGTTAGTCCCGAGGTCAAGAAAATGTGGATTTATACATCTACTCCCACATACGCCTTCATTGTGTAGGGTTCAATTAGTTGAGCACAAGGACAAATTTACCTTATATATATAAAACGGCTATTTTCTCGTTTAATGAACTATTTACAAACTCCAACATAAAGACCAAATTAGAAGTTGACATGCGATCCATCACGTGCATACAAGGAAATCATCTCACACTGAGTGCAGGCTTGAGTAACAAATTGAGATTATTTGTAGGTCAGTGCAGGATGCAACTCACTAATGGAAAATTTTGTATAGTTTTCTAAGTTTGTTGGGTCCGATAACTAAAACGGGAAAAATTTGTATTCACTGTTTTTCACAATGCACACTGGCGTGCTGATGGAAACTATATAATGAAATGTATTTATTGTATATTGTCATAAAATATATTACATGAGAAACTGAAAGAAATGAAAACATTACATTAAATGTTGGTCTAGAATATCAAGTACGTAATTACTTTGTTTGACCCACTTACTCGTTTATTCCAGCGAGACTAGAAATACAGAACGGACACTTGTATCCTACTTCCATACCAACGTCCGGTACTGTGAAAACATACAGAGTAACACAAAGCAACGCTGTAAGGGGACGCAGCACAGGTACGTAAGTGGTTTCCGCTCAGAGATGTACTCATAGTAACTAGCTTTTTTTTTCTCCTTCTTTGGTGCTACAGCCACAATTTGAGCCTTGGCCTGCCTCCATGAAACTCTCCGTTTCACTTCTGTTTACTAGAACTTTTTTTTTTGTAATCTCCGTTTATTTGTACATTCGATCCATATTAAGGACTATAAGCACATCTTATGAAATACTTAGTCTAAGACTTAAATACTAAGAAGAACATGTCGGGGAGAGTAATGCTCTAGTGAGCATTCTCTAGGAATTTATTCCGAGTGTGACTTTGTTATTGTGTGTATTTAATTTATGTGAGGCGATTCGTTAGGTCGGTTGGCTTATGCCTTTTCAGTCTTCTGGGCTCGTCTGCATCGTTTAATAATATGGTTGCCAGTTTATTTGGGTGTGCTGTGATCTTGTCTTTATATTTACGGCTGATGTTTGTAGTTTCTTCCCGTACTGTGGATATGCCTAGATCGGCATGTAGCAATCTGGGACGTACCACGGTGCGTTGACTATGGCGCGAAGTACCTACTTTATTTTGAAATCTCTGCAACATTTCTATGTTGGAAGTACTTGCAGTTCCCCATAATGGTGCGCCGTAGGTCCAAATAGGCTTCAGTATTGTCTTGTATACTAGGAGTTTATTTTCAGTAGACAGTTCTGACTTCCTGCCAATTAGCCATTGCGTCTGACTGAATTTAATGTCCAGTTGTTTTCTTTTGGCGAGAATATGTGTGCGCCAGGTCAACCGCCTGTATAGGTGAAGGCCTAAGTATTTGATTGATTCCTCTTGTGGTATGCATGTTCCGTTTAATAGTACCGGAAGGTAGGTTCCGTGCCTCAAAGCGAAGGTGATATACATGGATTTAGTTTCGTTGGCCTTAATTCTCCATCGTTGTAACCATTCTCCGAATTGGTCTAAGTGCGTCTGCAGTATCCGGGATGCTTCAGTAGGGTTCTCATGAGACGCTAGTATTGTTGTGTCGTCGGCATAGGTGGCAAGCATTGTTTGTCCGGTTTCTGGCAAGTCAGCCGTATATATGGAGTATAACATAGGCCCAAGAATACTTCCCTGCGGAACTCCGGATAAGACAGGGTATAATTCGGTATAGGCTTCGTCGTATTTAACTAAAAAAGTTCTGTCGGTAAGATAAGACTTTAATAGAGAATACATTGGGTGTGGAAGAACGCACTTAAGTTTGTATAATAAGCCTATGTGCCAGACTTTATCGAAGACTTAGCTTAAATCAACACATCAACACGTACAGCTGAGCAGTAGCGCCTGTTTTCAAAATCACTATGAATTTGGTTTACTAATCGATGTATTCCTTCGATCGTTCTGTGGCCTTTTCTGAAGCCAAATTCATGTGTAGGTATGAGCTGATGATCGTCGATTTCAGATACGAGTACTAACCGTTTGAGCAGTATTTTTTCCAGAACTTTGGAGAGAATCGGTAGGAGACTAATGGGTCTATACGATGCAACATCGTTTGGATTTTTTCCT